GTGTTTGCAGCAGGGATGACTCTGTGTTGGCTACCGTAATGGAGCCTCACAGGACCGATCAACATTACGGCTCCGAATAAATGCATCCGGATGAATTTCAGATGCGATGATTTCCGTTGCTTGCTCCATGCAAGTTTTAGATCGCCCGATTCATTGCAGGTGTCTGATGAAATTCCAGGTGCGATGAATCCATGGCTTCTCCATTCGCAGCCTTCCCATTTCAGGAACTCCCGACTTGGAACAAATGGGGCAGACAGCAATTTTCCATTCAAGTGTCTGTGTGCCAGGAACGAGTGTGAGATTTTGACCACAACCGCTGGAAAGAGCGGTGCATCCGTCAAGAAGGAAGGCGGAACCAGCACGGCGATGCTGAAAGCATCTAGCAAGAAGTAATGCGATGCCAGTGAGGAGTAGTTCAGGGTTCTTTGGTGCTTGGTTTGCGCTTTTTTTGCTTGTCTCTTGGGGTTCGGGTTTTGTTTGTTCGTTGTTGGGGTCTCGTGCGTTCAGGGCCGATTGCTTAGGTTGTTTGGTGCTTGCTGTGTGCAGTACTTTGCCACTTCGTGGCTTCCTGTGTGTGTGCGGAACCCTGTTACCAAGGGACTTTTCTGTGTTTCATTGTTGCTGGGGCCCCATTTGGCATAAATGGGGCAAACAGCAACTCTCCATTTAAGTGTCCATGTGTCAAGAAGGAGTTTGAGCTCTGGACTGCAACCGCTGGAAAGAGCGGTGCATCCGTCAAGCAAGAAGGCGGAAGCAGCGCAACGATGCTGAAAGCATCTGGCCGGAGCCAGCGAAGAGTAGTTCAGGGTTCTTTGGTGCTTGGTTTGCGTTTTTTTGCTTGTCTCTTGGGGTTCGGGTTTTGTTTGTTCGTTGTTGGGGTCTCGTGTGTTCAGGGCCGATTGCTTAGGCTGTTCGGTGCTTGCTGTGTGCTGCACTTTGCCACTTTGTGGCGTGGAGCCCTGTCACCAAGGGACCTTTCTGTGTTTGATAGTTGCTGAGGGACCGAAACAGCGCCGAAGTGGCTTGCTGTGTGTGTGAAAGCCTGTTTGCTAAGGCTCTTTTCCAACAAGTCAACATGTGACTCCAGCAGGGGGCATGAGGAACCCCAAGAAGGCTCATGCTAACAAACACCTTTCTTGGTGGTTCGTGATATCTGAGGGGGACGCCCTTCAGACGTACCTGCTTTGGGGGAGTACTTGGGCGGCGAAGTCTGCAGCTGGTATCCTCCAAGGGAGTACTTGGGCGGCGTTGACCGCAGCTGGTGTACCAAGACAAAGTACCTGGGTGGCGTTGTCCGCAGCTGGTATTTGTCAATAACATTCTGTCTGTTTAGGAAAGCAAAGATTTTCAGTTTACTTTTTCCAATTGCTGTCTTGTACAGAAATGAAGAACATAATCCAATAAGCCTTGAGGCCAGATGACGAGGTACCCGGACCCCCAGTCAAGGACTTCATGTCCTTAGCACGTCGAGCTTTGCTTGATAGATGAACTGATTTGGGCTTGCGTTTGGATGCACATGTGTGTGTGTGTGTGTCATGGGGGATGGCATCCCATTCCTTCGTCGCATGCGATGGCTTCGTGCAAAAGCATGGGGAGAGGGAGAGAGATAGAGATAGAGATAGAGATAGAGATAGATGAGTCAAGAAAAACAAGCGAGACCCCAGAGAACCAGGACAACAAGGACACCCTCGAGTGGAAGTGGGACGTTAAGGACCCAACAGAAAGGGCATCGGCGCTGGAGCACCTTTCAGCGACCATACCGAACAGATCTCTACCCCAAGTTCTACCACTACACAAGACGCAGGCCGGGCAACTTGGGGAAGAGAACCACCAACATCATTGCTGGGGTTGAGATTGTTATCCAGAGAACCGGAGCCTCAGGCTTCGGGTGACACGGAACAATCGCCGGAGGGGGGAAGCCACGATGAGGATGAATTTGCGCTGGATACGTTCCCGACAGTGGGGATGCCCCAACTCCAGGGGGGTCAGACGTTGCTAGCAATGTGGGAATGGTGGGGGCAGATGATGCACGGCCTTCTACAACAGACCAAGTGGAAGAACCTCCCACGGGAGTCCAAGACGCGAGGCTCAACCGATGGAGAGTGGGAACCACGCCTTCGTCGGATGATTTCTACCTTGCGCAGTGAACATCTACGCAAAGAACAAGCGCTTGCGGAAGAGCATGATCGCGAACAAGACGACGACGGACAGAATGAACCGGGTACTTCTTCGGCGATGCCAATTGGGTTGTCGATAGTGCCTGAGTTTCATACTCCGTATGACTGGGTGGTCGCCTTTGGTGGAATTCCCCCGTGGATGACCTCGAGCTCTACACTTCCTGTCCTCGAATAGTTCCGTGAAGAGCGACAAGGCCCGGATCAGGAACCGGGGATAGAGGCGCCGGCGCAGAGAGGCGAAATAGAAACGACGGGGGAACGGGAACATGAAACGCACGGATGGATGCAAGCCTTCGGCGGGATCCCGCGCTGATGGCGGCAGCGAACCCAGGACTCCCGATCCTCCAACCGGATGACACGCAGCAACCGAGTACACGGTCGTCGGGAACAGCAGAATTCCCTAGATGGAATGACGGCGAACCGATGTTGCGGGCGGATGTGTGCAAAATCCAGGAGTACGAAGAGGACTTGCGCAGACAGGAGGCAGAAGATGCGGAACGTTGCAGAGACATGTGCCCGGAAGAACTGTTTGAGGGAGTGGCGGAGACGACGATGGGCGTCGTGGAGGGCGAGATCGAATCGGAAGAAGAACAGCGGCGACCAGAACAAGAGCAGGCGGAAACGGAATGAGAACCAGCGACGAGCACTACTGAGTGTAAATGTACAGAATGCAAAACACACACAATACCAGTGAGCGGGCTGGTAAGGCTCGGCTCTACAACCGACTATGATGTTTTCTACTCCATGGTATCCTCAACTTCGATGCTGTTTGAGGGAGTAACAGCTCCCAATTCTCGCAGAAAATCTTCTGGCGACCGCTTTGAGGCGCACCCTTGGAGAACTGGTGAGTTAATGTGGGGGGTAGTTAGTACATTCTACCCGATGACAGAATGAACCAGCACCATTGTAGAATACTTGGAGCAGGTTAGCCAAAGCACAAAAGCGGTTGTCAATGGAGGAACCCTGCTCTGTCCAGTAGCTGTACTACGCTTGTTCTGGGTCGTAAGGATTGTTGCGCACAACACCTCCGGAACCGCTGGCTGACCGGACTTGCAAACCAGGAGACTTGCAAGTGTGAGAGCCATTATGTTGTAACTTGTAACCTTTATTTGGGGCTTGTTTATGGTCATCCTAATGAATATTGGGACTCTCACGCAGCAGGAAACCACATCCATAACAGACGATGGCGGGGAGGCCATTGGGCCGGTGCTTCAGCATCATTCCCCTGTGCAAAGCCAAAGCCAAGAAAGAGATACATGCTGTTGTGTGCAAACCCCGGACCGGAACCTCCGCCATCATCGTGACACCCGATGTACGGGCACGGGGTGAGATACGTGGTAAAGTTTCTTCAGAGGAACCAGTGCAAAGAAGTGGGGCCGCACTTCCAACGCTGTAGTTTGCAGACCGGTATGTGCCTGGTATGTGAAATGCCCGATCGCAATGGGTCAACCTCTGAAAAGTGCAATGCTGTGGAACCTCTGATACATACCTAATGAGTCCTATTATTGGTTTGTTGGGTGGCCCGTTGTTCTGTTGGACGTCGTCGTTGTGTACAAGTAGATTAAGGGACCAGCGCCAAACAAGTTTCACAAAAAAGGACTCGAGATCTTAACGAAACGGGAGGCCCCTGGGCAGGTGGGGGCAACCCCGCCACTCTCGTATAGCAAAGCAAAGCAAAGCAAAGAGAGATAGCTGGATGGATAGGTACAGAAAAAGAGAGAGAAGGAGAGAGAGGCGGAAACGTTTGCCTTCCTTTTTGAGGGTGTTCTTTCGCAGCCGTTTGCGGTGGGCTGCTCTCCTCCACTTTTGGCGGCGGACGCAGATCTGAGTGGGGGCGGCTTGAGGCCACAATGCCGTAGCTGTTTTTTAGACGAGCCAAATAGCAGGCCCCGCGCTGTTGCGGAATCGTTCTGCTCCATTGCCGCGCCGATAGCACGCATCCACTACTACCAATCCAAAACATTACGCGTTTTCCCTGACAGCAATGGGTACATCTTTGAATAGTAGATCCCTCCCCGACGTCAACCGCCGCGGCAGGCTGAGCGCCTGATGACCCCGGAGGGACGGTTGTACGTACAAGACTCGATCCTGGAACTACGACAGCGGCTGGAAAGCCTTGTGGGGCAAAATTCGTCTTCCTGCCTCTTCGAGGGGGTGCTCCGTCGCGGCCGTTCGTGGTGGGGGCTGTATCCCTCCACAGCTGGTGCTGATCTGAGTAGAGGCGGCGGCTTGAGGCGTAGTGCTGAAGGCGTTTCTCCGACAAGCTGGAACACCCCTGCTGAAGCGCAGAACCCCCCAACACATTGGCGACAACAGCGCCGGCGCAGCTAACCCGCCCAAAGGTCTGTGCAAGACAACCAGTTAAAGTCAGAAAGGGAAGGAGGCACGCTTTGGTGCGCGGGCGAACCCTGAAAGCCTAGCCTTCCAAACCATTGTTTATGCGGAGCGGGCAGAAGGGGCAGCTGGAAGGGCCGAAGTGTTTGCGTAGCTGGCCCATCCTTGGGGGAACCCTTTTGAAACAAGAAACCAAAGTGGAGAGAAAAGAAACAAAGGTGAAACCGTGTTGGAACCACACAGCTTTAAAGGAGCTAGGTGAAAACTGCGGAAGCGTGGATACAAAGTGGGCACGCCACACGGAGAAACGGAGAGAAAACGTAGTTACGTGTAGCTGCGGTACGGTGAATGCTGAGCACGGCTCTACTCTTCAGTTTTCGACTGCCGCTAAATCAGCAACTCCTGGACTCCTGAAGGCGGTCCTTCTTCAATTTAGTCTTGAGAATAATGTTCTATATTTCAGTATGCCGCTACTCCGGACGCTAAAGACTTAGAAGGGGACCCGCGCTCACGAGGCCCGGCTGTAGCATGCAACTTACGCTGTGAACTTCCTGAGCTGTAGTTGTGTGACCTAAACGCGGCTAAGGGCTTGGGTTAGAATAGGGAACACGCTTGTTTTGCTGGGGTGGGACAGTTTTGTTGCCCAGAGCGTCCACGCTGTACAGCAAGCCGAATAAAGGGAGCCCGAACTGCAAGGAACCATTTTTGTAAAGGGTATACTATGTGTTTTGAGAACTGGTTTGTTTTTTTTGTGTCCTTTTGCATTTCTTTCAACCAGTCGGCCTTTTGTCAGTGTTTCCTTTTGCTCCTTACGGAGAACCGCATGAGATTGTTGTGAACCTGTACCTTTTGTGACTGGTCATGCGCAAGTGGAAAAGATTCGAACAATTGCGGACTTTTGATCAGTAGGAACCAGAGCCCGCGTTTCATGAAATTCTTCAACCTTGACGTCTGCGGCGGCCGATGGCCAATGGGGGAACCTGCTAGACCCTTCATCCAAAGCAAAGCAAAAAAGCAAAACATATATGTTGAAGCCATGTACCGTCTTACCTTTTCAATGTAAGTAACGGAGTCGATTCGTGGAGCCATATCCAAAGAACAGAGGCGGGGAGGGAAACCCATCAACTAATGCAGAGCAGTGAATGCCAACAATTCGATAATGTAATTTTATGTACACATAAGCAGCCGCATTTATTTACGTAAGAGAGTAGAAGCCCAGGCGCGTCGGTATTTTTGTATCTGAGCTCAGCGTTCCTTTGCGAACGAGATAGGGGCCGTGGATTGAACGAGATAGGCCACAATTTCTTGTGCAATAAGAGCCCAGTACATGTTCGAACATGGCGAACGAGATCAGCCAATGTTGCCAAACTACAATATAAGACCAAATATAAGGTGAACGAGATGAGGGGCCGTGGATTAAAACTGCCGCATAAGGCCCAGTGAAAGCCGGCCCTCACATGTGGAATAGAAGTGAGAAAAACATTTCAAGGATGATCTGAGGTGTTTCAGTGTTACTTGGTTTGGAGTCATGTGTTTGGGAATGATCAACCAAGGAATGAAGCGCATGTGGGGTCACCATTTGGTAGTGAGGGCTTTTTCGATCTTGCGAACCTTCTAATAATGCCCGGATGAAAAGTAATGAGCAACATCACTTGGATAGTCTTTATGAACCAAATTTGCACGCTGGAATGGACAATTGACTTCAGCCCAGGATGATTATATCGTGATGTTTTGGGAGCATGCCTGGCGTATATATATATATATATATTCACATAAAATATGGACAACATGCAAGCCCGTCGGGACCAAGATCAAACTGGAACGCAGGCAACGAACATCGAGAAGCTGGTGACCTATTTCCTGAAGTCGGGTGTCAAGCCCTACCAGGCCAAACCCGATGCCGGGTTCATCTGCTTTCTTCGGCAGGTGTTGGATTCCATGAAGATTCGGCTTTCTGGCATTTTGTTGGCAAGATTGACAGGAAAGAGGTGTGGTGCCTGCAGGATTTTGGTGGGGATCTCAATATTTCCAACCCAAAACCACCGCCGTGCGCAGGATGTGTTTCCGACGATGGGTGCAGAGATGACGCCAACAAACCAACCCACAATGATGACTGTACAATTTAGTATTCATTATTTTGGCCATGATACCTAATGACGAGCTACAACAGCACAAGATGTAATCAAGCTGTCAGGTTGGCATCATCACTCCTTACGAAGGCCAGCGAGCCTACATTTGTGCCTGGCATGCACGCAAGGCAGATGCAGGAGCATCCGATTCTATTGATGCGTCGCCATGTTGTAGAGACGTATCTTCACTTGCTTGATGATAGTCTGACGCAAGCAAAGAGTGAAAGTGACCCGCAATGGAAGCTCTAGCAGCCTGGGCCATGGTTCATGGAGTGTTTGTCCTGGCCTCAGGGACTGGGCATCCAAGGTGCGGTACTCCAGCGCCAGACAACTTTCAGCCACAAGGCTCGCGTGGCCTCAAGCCATGATTCGAGAGTCCAACTCTCCATCGCAGAGAAGCGTGTGATGCTATGAGCTCAGTGCGGATGCACCTCGAATGCTGCGGATCTACGCGAGAAACCTAGGGTCTCAACTCAAATCGAGGCTGTTTGATTCTAACTTGTCTTTTTCCACAATAGCGCTGTGGCCATGAACTTCAGACCCCTTGTCCGCATGCCAAGCTCTACTTGGCATGCCCGCGAAGGCCTACGAGGAGATCGAGGTTGCAAGCGTGGACAGCTTCCAGGGCCGAGAGAAGGCTCACAACTAAGGGGATGAGTGCAAGGTTCGAGTCGAGCTGGCCTTGGCTTGAGGTTTGCAGTCCGACTTTTTCTTTCAGGGGCTTAGCAGTTTAGCCATAGAGTGGAGGTGAGGGTATAGACTGGTCAGGTAGTGGCCAGATCAACTTCGAAGAGAATAGTTGCACACCTTGCCAAAAAGCTTACAAGAACAAACAGTGGCGGAAGCTGTACGCAGAAAGCACATGCTTCGAGGGAATCGATTCATTTTTGGACAACCAATTGAGGATTTTGGCTTGGCTGCATGTTCCCAAAGGCTCGAACCAGAAAGTGCCAGGACTTCATCCTCCTGTCCTGTGTGCGATCGAATCAGAATCAGGGAATCGGGCTTCCCGGCAACATTATTTTGCAGATTTGACATGTTGCTTGAGGCAGACAATTGATAGCCTGAGATTGAGGACCCTAGTGCTGGAAGCCATAGGATATGAGAGTTTAGATTAGGGTGCAGTAGGATGAGACTTGAGGATTTGTGGTCTTGCTGTACTGACCAAGGGAATTGCCAGTCATGTGGGTTTAGATATAGTCAAATCCCTTCCCCAAATAAGACCCCTCCATCAATACTGCGAGGGGACGCCCAAAATCCCGCGAGACTATCATTAGAAGGCAAGACAACTTCAAGTGAGGCCAATTATTAGGCATAGGATGATATGGATTGAGGGTCGGGTTGAGATCAGGACTGTATATTTCGGTTGAGAAGGGTTTGATCAGGAGCTATTGGTTTCGGAGGCTGCCATGGGGCCGCAGGAGATAAAAACCCTCCGCTTAGGAGAACTTTTCATCGATGCTTCCTTGTCACAGCGGAATTCAAGGACAATTTCATCCTGCGCCATTCCAATCCCTTGGATCTGCATTGCAACTCGAATAGTCCTCGAGCACAACCTCTGACCGTCACCAAGGTTCTTGAATGATCCCCGGCGTCTTAACGTGGCACTGACACGGGCCAAATATGGACTTATCATATGCGGCAACGCCAAGGCGCTGAGGGTGCTGCCAGCTCAGGGTGGCGAATAGGACGCATGTTTAGCCTTTGGTAGGAACATAACTATGAGATACTTCCTGAGTCCCTCTGAAACACCACTCGAGAAATCAATACCTCACCCATGGGGTTTCTAAGAGGTAATCTTCTGTGATTCAAGGTACGTTACAGTAGTACCAAACCGTCGCGGCCGCACACCTAAAGCCAGGTTCTGGGAAAGCAATTCCGTGCTCAACCGTCGTTGTCCCCTGGCTTCATGAAATTGAGGCTCCTTCAGGATCAAGGTGATCAGCGGGCTCCGTTGAAAAGAGTCGCTGAGGTGACATCACGCTAAGCTCACGAGTCTCGGAAGTGTGCTCTGAGCTGGTACTAAGTGTTTGCAAGTGCTCAGAAGTTGCTCGAGGGTTGTGACCTGTTTGGGCATTCACGGAGTTTGCTGCATTTTAGCACACATTCTTGGGCGGGGCTCAGGGAGATCGAAGTGGCATTTCAACATTTCTGTGCGAAGATCCAGTCAGAAGGCTCTAAGAAGACCCCAAGGCCGATCCAAGGATTCATTTGGGAAGGAACTTAGGCCCACTGCAGAAACGTAGGATTTTCAGATTCTCTGGTGGAAGGCCTGAAGCCCAAAAAGCTCGCACCTTCTGCTTTGATTACCGAGGTTACTCGCCAGATCAATGACTATCATAGCTGTAGGGCTATTAGAGCTGGGAGTCTGTGTTTCTGGCCACTTATGCCTGCAGTTGGTTTTAGGATACAGAGCACCCACGGTTCAGGCAGCAGACAAGGTGCCCTCAGTCCAGAGCTACCAAGCCTTCTCCGCCAACCTTAGACTCTTTAGATGTTCCTGCAGAGGAAGGGTTTTTTCATGAGATCCCCGGATTTTCTGGGTGGAGGATCAAAAAACAAATAAGGATCAAATACAAATCCAAGGATCAAAAGAAAACAAATAAGGATCAAAAATAATCCAAGGATGATTAAAAAGCTCCGATGATCAAAAGAAACAAATAAGGATCAACAAAAAGATCCGAGGATCAAACAACAAACAAATCCGGATCTACAAAAACGCTGTTTTATAGTAAAACTGGTAGAATGGACACAAGTCCGGAGATTAAAAAACAAAAAGTGACTCAACACTCATGAAACCTATGGGAGTTTGGAGGATTAAACAAAAAGAAGGCAGGGATCAACAAAAAAAAATCTGAGGATCAAAAAAGATAAGGATCAACAAACACACAAAAAGTTCTTGAACACTTGTCAAAACTATCCAAAAATGATGAAAACTACCAAAAAATGATGCAAAATCATGAAGATGATGAAATAATGATGAAAGTCAAAGAAATGATTGGAAGTGATGAACAATGATGAAAAATGGTGAAAACGTAATGAAAATGATGAAAAATGATGGAAAATGAAGAACATATTGAAAATAATTGAACATAGTGAAAAACGTTAGAGATGATGGAGCATGATGGAAAATGCCGCGGTTCGATTCGGTGCGGTTTCGGTTATTTCTAAATCGGTTCGGTTCGGTTCGGTTCGGTGTTTTTTTTGCAAAATCTCGGTTCGGTTCGGTTCGGTTCGGTTCGGTTATTTACTTTACATGTCGCGGTTCGATGCGGTTTCGGTTTTCATTCCAGGGTTTGAGTTGATGCACACCAAATTGACCAACATTCCGCGTGCTTCGTTGTATAGGGGG